GGAAAGGAAGCGATTCTCTAGGTCAATGATGGTCTCCCCGATCTTCTCATCTTTGGACAAGAGGTCATAGTCATACAGGGTGATCTTCAAGTCCTTCTCCATGGGCAACGTGCAAGTCAACTCAAACATCCTACAGAAAGCAGAAACATACCAGTCAGCTGAAAGGAACATGGGCTGGGATTTTATGGAGTTGCTGTAGCTGTTCAGCAATTGAAACTCCTTTCTAGCACTGATGAGGTTACTTAGTGAGGTTATGACACGTCTGTAAGAAAACAACCAGGCTCAGAGAGCACCAAGGACCCCATAGTCATCTTCTCCTCCTCCTCCTTTTCCTCTTCCTTCTCTTCCTTCTCCTCCTTCTCCTCTTCCTCCTCCTCTTCCTTGTCCTTTTCTTCTTCCTCCTCCTCCTTTTCCTCCTCCTCCTCCTCCTCCTCTTCCTCAATTCGCTGCAGGAGAACTCACCACGGGCAATTCAACACTGTATTTATCATTTCATTCAGTTACTTCTATTATTGGGGTCCACATTTTGGTCGAAATTATTGTAACTGCTGTATTTCTGGATTGGCTTTCTTTCTTTTATTATGATTGGCCATGGGTCTGTCGAAGTTGGTTTTAACTTTTGCATTTGTTGAATTGTCCTCTAGTGGGTTGTCCCATGGTGATTTGGCTGCAGCAAGTAGTCGGTGGCAAGTCATCCCATTCCATCCAGGGACATCAACTCCCCTCCCACAACCCTGTCAGGGACTTATATGGGAAGACTTACTTTCCAAAGACCGGTTCCAGGGTACAGGCGATGTAATTGTCCTGATCATTGATGGACTTCTTCCCTACAGAAATCTTCACGTAAGGGTCACACTGTGCGGGAGAAGGACACAGAGACAGGCTCAAGGCACCGAAGAGGCAGGGAAGCAAAGTCAAACCACTTTTAGATATTTCCACCATAAATGTGCAGACTGCAACCTTATGAGATAGGCCAGATTGAGAACGAATGAGGGCTTCAAGTCACCCTTGGGGTCTTCTTCTGTCCTTCACTACTACACCAAGATGCCTCTACTGGTTCCTGCAAATAGACTGGGCAACCAAAGAGGAAACTTGGAGGAAAGCCCTAGAACAGGGCCACCATAAGACCTGTGGACTTCAACTCCCAGAATTTTCCAGCCAGAAGTTGAAGTCCACAGGTCTTAAAAGTGGCCAAGGTTGGAAGCTCCTGCCCTAAACTTTCCTTCCCAACCTGGTGGCCTGTAGAGGCATTGAACTTCCTGTTGGCTGGGGCATATGGGAGTAGTAGTCCAACCCATTTGGGACCCATCCAATTCAGGAACGTTGCTCTGCATGTCCTCAAGAATCTCCCCGTCGACACATCTAAACTTCATATACCTGACGTAAAATAAAAACTAAATTGATGTAAGCCACATGTTGACCATAGATGGAACCCACATTGCTACTGAGAATAAACAGACACTCATCACCACCTCCCTCTCTGCTCTGCCCCCCCCCCCCCCACCCCCCCCCACCCCCATTCGTTGAGCGAATGGCTTGGCAGTGAAGATGAAGGCCACACAGAGCTCAGGGCTAGGAATGGTCCACCCTCAACTGAAGTGCAGGCTGCAAAAGGCGACTGGAATGTCTTGAATTGTTTTTACTTGAAAACATCTAATTTCTCATTCAAGAAGAAGCTTCAGTTCTGAAGAATTGAAGAAGCTTTAGAATGGAATGGGAATAGGAATAGAATAGTTTGAATAGAAGTAGAGTAGAGTAGAGTAGGGTAGGGTAGGGTAGGGAAGGGAAGAGAAGAGAAGAGAAGAGAAGAGAAGAGAAGAGAAGAGAAGAGA